TCAAGCTGGGCACCGTTTCATTCACAACACCTGTCCCATCAACCAGGAATCAGAATCAGACTTTAATAATCCCAGGGGGAAATTACTATCGTTACATGACACTATATGAAATAGAGTGACTATAGGACCAGTTTGATATAATATTACAAAGTTTCATGCAATATATATAAATAGGGGGTCCTCGCTCGATCTGGCCATCAGTTTGGGGGTCCTTGGCCTGGAAAACCTTGAAGACCGCTGCTTTAACACATTGTTTCATGTTAGCAGGGTATGGAAGAAAAATGGGATTCACTTTTATCTACCATTAAAACAAAGCTTTAAACTCAGCTTTACATATTTGCTGTTTCATCTTTCTTAGACGTACATCAGATTTTATTGGGTTTAATCTAAGGAGAAATTAAAATTAATACCCCATAAAGTGTTTCTCTTTCACACACATCACTGAGATTATAATGCAACCATTTTTGGCATTTACTTAATCATATTTAGTTACTTTATCCCAATTGTTTCATGTTAGCAGGGTAGGACATAAAACTATTGTGTGAAAGTAACTAAATATGATTAAGTAAATGCCAACAACGGCTGCATTAAACCCCATAAAATCTTCAGGAAATAAAAATAAACGACTGAATATGAGTTAAAAGCTATGTTTTAATTCAATTCAGTTTATTTCTATAGCACCAATTCACATCATGTCATCTCAAGGCACTTTCCAGTTCACCAGATCATCCAGTTTGATTGATTGAAAGTTTTCTATCTAAGGAAAACCAGCTGATTGCATCGACTCTGTTCGGATTTAAGGCTGCATCCTCCAAGGATCCGCTCTACCTGGACTGGATCCTTTAAAGTCCTTGAAAATAAGGAGACCGGAAGAGTTTTGGCTGTGGATTCAAACAGGTCCAGCCTTCCCTGGCTTTCAACGCCGAAAGCTCTGTTGCTTAGCAACCGTGAGAGGTGACCCACAGAGCAGGAAAAGAATGAATAGTGAACTTTTCAAAACAGTTTCTTTTTATTTTTTATTTTTTTATTTTTTTTATTGTAAAGTGAACAAAGACTCATGAGAATCCAGAGTGGAATGAAGGTTCCAACCACCGGGAGCAGGAACTAATAAAAGCAAAGTAATGATAGAAACCTTTGTCAGTTAAATAACCTGCTGCTGTAATTTTGCACATCTCTGATGTTGTTGCTATTTTCAAATATCCAATACTGTATTTTGTTTATATTTGGACTCTTTACTATTATGTTATTCTTTTACATTTTTCTAAGGTCCATTTTCAATAATCGTTTTGTTGCTGTAAATTCGCCCATAATATAAAGTCAGGTGCAAATTCCTTTCGGTTTAAAGACTAAAACAAAACAATGAATCCAAAGTAAAAAAAGTAAAATAAAAAAACAAAATCATTTTTTGACAGAAACCCTTTTTTTTTTAAAGTATGCATGATGAAACAGCGTAAACTACCTCCACTGACAATATATACTTTTTACTGTGTATCACCTCCAGGTTAAAGACGTCTCAGCAGGAAAGAGAAACATAAAAAAGATTTTGTACAAAAGAGAAAATTCATTTTAAAGAGCCTTAAACTGTCTGCCTGTCTGCAGCCTTCTAGGTTAAACTGTTTTCAGAATTTAATGAATTTTCTCAGGTGAAAGGAGCGATACTTTATGACAATTTTAATTAAAAGTAGAAAGTACAGTGCAGATAAACAGTAAAAGGAAATTTCTGTAAAAACGTTACTAAATTAAGGCATCTACCGACCTCTGCACACACCTCAGGGCATTTTTTTTTTGTGGGAGACATGGGGAGGAAACCAGAGTGACAGGCAAACATGCAAACTGCATGCAAAAAGACCCTAGGCCAGGATTTGAACCCAGGTTCTTCCTGCTGCAGGGCAAAAGTGCTGCAAACTGCAACACCAACAACTTAGTTTAGGAAGACAAAGTTTTTTTTCAGCAAAAAAAAACAAAAAAAAAACAGATAACAGGTAGTTCTAGACATCCCAAAAATACTAATTACTTTGAATCAACACCATTTATAAAAGACAAAAGCCTTTTTCTTTGGTTATGTCTAAACTTTAAACCTTCATCCTTTGACTCATTTTGCAAAAAATGCATGTGGCAAAACATGGCAGCAAAATCTGTTTTTCAGAAATAAAGTTTCACATCCAGGCTCTACATAATGCATGACATTAGCCAACGATAGCAGGTTTATAGACCGAGGTAGAGAAAAAAAATCAGATGATCTTATCTGCGTTTATTTTGAAGAGTGTCTCATCTTTATGTGTGTTACATAAATAAGCGCAAAAGCCCTTTATTTACCCCAAAACACGGGCAGCAGGACAGACATTTAGACTAAATACAAGAAAGGAAGAAAGGAAGAAAGAAAGAAAGAAAGAAAGAAAGAAAGAAAGAAAGAAAGAAAGAAAGAAAGAAAGAAAGAA